GTTTAACCACAGACGAGAGCTCCACTGTCATTTTACACCGCAAATCAGCCCGTTAGAGTCGGGGTGTTGAGAAGCCAATTTGAAGAGTAATCTGAAAGAAACAAGGTTTCAAAGCATAAGGAGCTCGGTGAAATAATTCCCTTTTGATCAAATACCCTTTTGATTAGCGCACCTGATTCCTGAGGCTAAACTGTGCTGTGCAGTAAATCATCAAGATGAAGCTAAAGTATAGTCTATGTGGTTCCCACACCATGTTGGGCAAAGCAGCTTCATGGATAAAGTGAGACAGGGAGGAATTGTGTTGGAGCTGAAGGTGAACTGAACACTATCAATCCTGCTCCCCACCAGCAAACATTGCACTAAGGTGAACAGAACTCAATTTTCACACGGTTACCTGGGCAAATAAGAATAGTTCTTGCTGCAAGCAAAGCACTCTTCTCTCCAAAAAACAAGTATTATTTCCCTCTTTTAACTCGCCAAGCACTGACAGAGGCATACTGTACTCGGCCTCTCCTCAGTGTTTCCAGCTGAAACCTCACTCAGACCTCAATTTAACATGGCACACAGTGATGCCTGGAAAAAGTTATGCCACCACACATATTATCATATTAATTACCACAGCGTATTTTTTGCTCACCAGGATGAGAAAGAATTGCAAAATAAAGAATCACAAAAATGAAAATGCTGTCTAGCCAGAGGAATCTGTTTACACAGAAGTTATGAGGCAGAAAGAAAGAAAGTATAGAGAAACAGTCTTCAACAGTAAAAGAACATACTTTTTGAACCACATTTTGCAAGATGGGCTTTAGAAAAAAAAAAAGAAAAAAAAAGACTAATTGCAACATCAAGCTTGAACATCTGTTGGAAGATGGATTAACACGGTGAGCTATGTGGGTGCTTTTCAGGAACACCAGACTTCTCATTCTAAATACACGGCTGTGACTGTATATATGGGGTTCTACAATTGTAGATAAAGGCACTGGGGGGGGGAGGAACAACCTTCTGCACAGCTGTGACAAGTCCACTAAACAGTGTGGCTGCTGCTGCTGCTGTGATGTGAACCGATAGCGTCCAGCCCGTCTACAGCACTTCGACCGGAACCACTGCCATATCACTGGAAGGAAGTGGACCTGTTATGGTTATGACCTCAAAGGCTTTGGGTGGTCCACATTCAGACACACACAAATATGAAGAGAGAGAGAGAGAGAGACGAGGGACGAGCGCAGGCACACGTAAATATAACAATCCAAAACACTGATAGAAGCGCTCTCTGAACATCTGCAATTTCCCATGACAGCACACATGTCGCTTCTTTCATCCACACATTAATAAACAAAATGAATATCTGCAACGCCCTTTTCCATGTAACCAATTCAATTACATTAACAACATCTACACGGGCAACTTATCCAGTGATGACTCATATTGCCCATAAACACATGCACACCAATCCACATTAGTCACAGGCTTACATCGTTTTCACAGTGTTGTGTCAGTGGATGATGTTAGATGACAGAGATTCATCTTGGCCAGAGTATAACACAGGCCTGTCCAAACAACATGTTCAACCTCGCCCTAGATAAGCAGGACGGAGCTAATCTCCACGCAAAAGACACAAAGCTGAGCCCATCAGCACTAAAATCTGAGAAAACACCAAGGTGCTGCTCTTAGCAGGTCTTTGGTTACTTTTCTATTCAGGATTTCAGCCAATATCAGTACAATTGGTAACTTGGTGTGGTGACATTTCAGTGAAGCACTCAAAGTTGTTTGGTTTTAGAGTTCGCATTGCTCTGTCTAAAATACAATCCATCAGCACCCAGCAGAGAGAAACATTACCGTATCCAGTTACCAGGAGAGAAACTCTAGACCTGAGGACACAGGTCTCACACATGCAGACGAAAAAACACTCAGCTACCGTCAGACGGACTGAAAGAGACGTTCATATTGGCTGCAACAAACCAGCAGTCCCGTGCCTGCGC